ATCTTTCGGCGATAGATTCAACTGTTTCCGTGGTGTAGCGGTTATCACATCTGCCTAACACGCAGAAGGCCCCCGGTTCGATCCCGGGCGGAAACAGAAATTCACTTTTTGTCATTATTTTATTTGATGTGAATAATTGTTAAATGTAAATTGTTAAAATGTAGAGGAGACAACATTGTTGCTGTTCGAGCATTTATATCTGCAAACATTTTATATATATTTAGATATACATATAGTTTAAATATACATATAGTTTGTCTGCATTAACATTTTTTACAACATATTTCGCACTCAGTTTTTCAAAATCACTTAACTTTTCGCTTAAAGAGTTTTTAAAGTTCTTAAGTATATATCAAAAGAAATGAAAATTCTCACAAAAAAAAAAATTGTTTCAATTATTAGCTTTTGTACATTCACATTGAAGTTTTAGTCAATATTCAATCACTTTCAAATGTGTAATTTTATTATCTGCATTTCTGTATACTGAAATCAATATAGTTTCAAATGAAGCTATCAAAGAATTTAAGGGCTCCTCAATTAATAATAAATAATTAAAATCAAATAAATATATACAAAGCGAATACTGCAGCTGTCTACTACAAAATGAAAATCCAATTTAATTTTAGCCAAATATCATATGAAATATGTAAACATATAAAAATGTGAATGTGATGTACAATGAATATATGAATATTTAAATATGTAAATATTACATTTCATTTACGTAGTGCCTCAACACAAACAAAAGGCAATATTATCTCTTAGTTTACCGTTTGACTTTATTAGATGCAATTTGTATCTGAAAATGAAAGCCAATTCGCGAAAATTGTCCCACCGTTCGCTTTGTGTATAGACAATGTTTACATTTGCTTTGCCGCTTAACTTGCTCAGCTGTTCATTGAACTGCTCCCACAGGTCCCACTGGCCGGGGTGTTGGTCTGCTCTGCGGTTCTTGTGGTCTTGGCCAATCAACAATTACAAAAAAAAAAAGAAAAAAAAAAAACACACACACACACATAAAAAGAGATAAACATCCTTACATATATAAATATATACATATGTATATATATTCAGTTCTTTATGACAATTGATAAAATGAATGTCATTTAAAGACTGGCGTTAAAAAATTATTCCTCTTTAATTTCTTGTCTGCTGTGGTAATTCAATTCGGAGTCCGGCTCCGAATTGCGTCCGAGTCCCCGGATTCTGTGAAAGTTCAAAGTTCAACGCTTTGCTTTGTCAACGACTTCTTGGGCGAGAAAAGTTACACAACGCACTCAGAGCTGAACGCACTGGCGAATAAATAAATACTAGAGCAATGCGAACAAAAGTCATAAAATAAACATACTCGTATTTAAAAGAGACATTTTGGACAACCGCTTGATAGGTTCATTTCAGCCAATTGCTCAGTTTCTGACACCCCCGTCCCCTATCCCCTATCTCTTTCCTACCTCTTTCGTTCGTTGTCCCTCTAGACTTGTTTCTCTCTCGCTCTTTCCCTGTCTCTATTACCAGCTGATCCAAGGTTCAATGCATTCTGTATGCATTGTATGTGTGTTATCCCTGACCTCCAACTCCTTAGACAGTTTTTGTTTAATTTTGCAGTTTCTAGAATTTAGTTTTTCAGCTTCAATTACGTTAAGTGATTTTGAAATTAATGAAACACTAGCAGAACACTTACAATTACCAATGTAAATTGACCAGCTTGATCGAATTTCAGCTATTTAAAAGGATGATTTTCGGTATTCACGCTGAAAGTCTGCTTTGTTTAAACGAACTATTTATGAATTGACCCCAGCAAAGGGTTCGAATTTCAGTTCACACTTCCTTTGATGCTTTGTCTTTTTGCCTTGATTGGCGCTCAACAATGCAAACTTTTAGATTGTATCTAGTAAAGCACAATATTGTGACCTTCGAGGGGAATTCAATCAGCTCATGATCAGAAATGCTGACTGACGTCTTTTGTATAAACTAATACATTTTTAAACACAATTATACATATTTTAGGTATAATTTTTGCTTCTCTATGAATGGGCAGCACGTATGCGTACATATTTACGTGCGTACATACATGCATACATACATATGTGAGTATGTGTGTATATAAATTGTTCACTCAACGTGCCCATATTTCTATTATCAGCTTTTTGGCAGCTCCTCGCTGTGTTTAGCCGCAATAAAAACAATAAAAAACGGCAAATCATTTGGTCGCATTCCAAAATGCCTTCAAAATAGCCGCAAGCAAAAAGTGATTTGAATAATTGAAATAGATTTGGAAATGTCTTTGACTTAACCAGACTATTCGGCCGACGGAATTTCAACTGTTTCCGTGGTGTAGCGGTTATCACATCTGCCTAACACGCAGAAGGCCCCCGGTTCGATCCCGGGCGGAAACAGATGCTAAATTTTTTTCCTTAATTAATTTTAAAATTATTAGTAAGAGAAGATGCCCAGTCTAACTTAATTTACATTAAAATAACGTGTGTTTGTACAGCCATTATCTGAAGGGTACAATAAAGCTCGGCCAAAAACAAGTAGTCAAATATATATGCGTGTACACATTTTTATATGTACAAACATACATACAAATCAGCAGTTAGTCAAAACTTACTACTTATCAAACTACTTTACTTTGAACTTTAAATGAGCTAGTTATGCAGGTAGACATTTTAACGCACACACATATTTTTATGTACATCGTTATCTTTAGCCTTTGTTATTATATTTTATTTCTTTTGTTTTCCTTTCATTTTCTGATTTTGTTTGGCTCGAACTTGTTTGCTGTGTGCGGCTCGTATATTACTCAACACTCGCACATGTTTCCATGCATAAAAGCAGTGTCTGGCTCCATAGCCGTCAGCTGTTTCCGTGGTGTAGCGGTTATCACATCTGCCTAACACGCAGAAGGCCCCCGGTTCGATCCCGGGCGGAAACAGGGGACAAATTTTTTTGTTTCATATAAACTTTTAATTATTGTTAAATTCAATAAAATCAGTAAATGATAGATATTAGAATAAATTAAATCAACTTATTTCCTTTACTTATATTTGCAATATGAATACATTACACAAAATCATTATTTTTCTATTTCCATAGATACGTTCTTTATATAGAACAAATTTGCATTATTATGCGGGTAAGCCAATTCTTAATAACTTAACAAACTAGTCTTTGTCTAGACAATCGTGAATCCTCTGAGCCTTCTTTGAAAGAAAAAGTGTTCCGTGTCACTGGCGCTTTACCAGATGCGAGAAGCTATGCAAAATATGCCAAACAAAAGCAAGAATTGAAAACAGGAAACTACGCGACCCGCACATAAGGGTAACTGTAGTCCCTGTAGTAAGGCCCAACCACTCACTCTCACTCTTTGTGAACTGGACTTTTTTTCAACCTTCTTTATTTGATGGTTTGTTTTTGCCGTTAACCTTTATGGGCGTCCTTTTTGTATCGTTTTCGTTTTCTGCTTGGCGGGAAGTGGATCCGCAAAGACCAAAAAATACGTGAAATGAAAATGAAAACGTAAAGGCTACGGCATTAAGTCAGTTCGGCGCTGAAGCTATCCGGATAATTCCCACGACTATCTGTCTGTCTGTTCATTGATGGCGAACGCTGCGTATGAGCAATGCGAACAGCTTCAATGCAATGCGAATGCCTTCGTGTGTGTGTGTGTGTGTGTGTGTGTGTGCATGTGTTGGTGTGCATTTCATTTTCAAGTGCATGCCAATTTGGGTGGCTTTTGTTAACACTCTTTTACCTGTATTTATTTATCTTTCTATTATGCTCTAACAGCTAAGAGTTTTCGTTTGCATTTCTTTTTGCTATTTTTGCACACTTTAAGCACATTGATTGTTATTATTGTTATTGTTGATGTTGTTGTCGTCGTTGTCGTTGTTGTTGTTGTTGTTGTTGCACGAAAAAGTCCTTGAACGCTCAACTGACCTGGCACTGCGATACACACAACAAAACACAACTGGCAAACAAAAAAGAAACAAAAACGTCTCCTTCTGCCAGCCTCGACTGAAGCACGCGAAAGTGAATCAAACACAAAATTCTTAAATTGTCAGATGCAGCGAAACATTGATTGCAATTTCACATATCGAATGCCAAGTGCTCGTTAAATTATTGTTCTTACTATGTTTACACTAATGAAAGCACTGCGCGCGTCTCTAAACTCGCATTTTGACTATCTGCTGCCTCCTGCGCAAGGACCCGCAGCCAACTGACAGCGCCAACTGAGTTTCTGAATGCAGCTAGCGGAACATTTTCACTTTTCATGAGTTCAGATTCAAGATTATTTCTTCATAGAGCGTGCTTCTCGTGCACGTGCATGTGTGTGGGTGGAAGTGTGTGCGTGTGTGTATTGGTTGCCTTGCAAAGCAAATTCAGAGACTGCCAACATTTGGTTTTTGCTTTCGGTATTGGTTACACTCCATGTGTGTGTGTGTGTGTGTGTGTGTGTGTGTGTGTGTGTGTGTGTGGGTGTAAGTGTGAGTAAATGTGAGTGGGTGGCCATTGCACAAATGGGGTCTCAATCTGCTCTCAAAAGACGCGGTAGCTGTACGAGTCATGCGCAATGAGGGAGCTTCCTTTCAGAATGGTTTGGGTCTGGGATAAAAGAAGCTTTTGTTCATGAAAAAGCAATATGAACAATAAGAACATTACTTTCAGGTGATACCGACTGCACAATGCTCACTCGCGGTAAAAATTCTGCCAGCCGCAAGCTGCAAGACACTGCTAGATATAGATAACTCCGATTTTTTTTTAGTTTATTAATAAGGGAGTTTATTAATATTTAATATTTGTATTTGTGTTGTCAATGCAAGCAGTATGCAATATTCCAAATTTAAACCCTGGTGTATCAAAAATATCATAGATGCGCAGCAGCACAGACATCGCTGAAGAAATATACTCATTTCCATTTGGTAAATGAGCCGCAAGTAAATGATCATTAAAACCATTCAATGTGAATTTTGTGTATACTATATTGCATAAAAGGCATATGCGAAGCGCCTATATTTAATTCAATTGGCATTACATTTAGATCTGAACGTATTTGGGATCGCGGCACTCATGCACCTTGGGGTCGTACAACAAGCCGGGTGTGCAGTCCAAGGTGATGCCCTGTCCCTCTACGCAATAGTAGTAAGAGTCTCGTCTCGAGTTGTGGGGATAGAAGTGAACGCCAGTGTCCGGGCAGATGATGTCAGCGCGTCGAGGCGGTACGCGGGAATAGGGCTGAATATTGCGCTGCTGCAATGAAGTAGTTACGTTGCATTGGACTTTGCTCGCATAATCACAGCAATTGCATTCGGGGTTAAAGGCTAAGCCATTGGCGCACTCTTGGGGCCAGGGCATGCCATTGGAGCAGATGAAGTACTTGTTGCACTGCGCCTTGCTGGGCAGATAGCGAATGTTCGAGACCGTTATCTCTTGAGGACAATCGTTTTCCACACAGTCCACAAATTCGGGGAAATCGCAGCGATCCGTGTCCGCATTGTACTGCAGCCCGTCGTAGCATTCCCTCAGTACCGGAATGCCGTAATAGCAGAGCACGTATTTGGTGCAGGTGCGATCATAACAGAAGCTCGTAAGTTTGTATTCTTCACATTCGGGCAGGCACTTGACATCGTTATCTATGTAGGTGCATGCCTGGAACTTGTAATCAAACCCGAGATGGCAATCTGTGGCATTTCCCTTGCAAAGCTCTTCAAAAGCCTCTCCATCATAGCAGCTGCCGATATAATCGACCTTGCCACCTGGAAAGAGTTTTCGACGAGTTAGATTCCGTTTCCTAATGGGTTAAGTTCGTACCTACCAACGCAGGAGATGAAGCTGGAGCAGTTGCCTATGTAGGGCAGCAGGGACTGGTCAGCCATATTTGCGCACAGATTTATGTCGTTCACGACTAAGGAGGAGAAAGGACCATCGGGATTCACGACATTTTCTTCTGGATCAGGTGCCACAATCTCTTCTGACTGTGGCGTCAGCTTCAAATGAAATCTTGCTCCCGAGCATTGGAACAAGACAAATAAAGCCAATCCGTAAAGAAATTTCACTGTAAAGAAACAAAGGGAAAAGTCAATGGAAAAGTTTTTGAAAAATAAGTCGACTACGCACTCTTTGATAGATAGAGTTCCCGAAAAGAACTATGCTAAGCTCTTGGTTAAGTTTGCTTTTATAGCTGGGGAACTAACTTTTTTCGATATCTTTGACTCTTTCTAATGAGTTGTCGGAAAGCGACATTATCGCATTTAGGCACGCGCGCTAGCCTCTCGAAGGAAAACTACATTTTTAATTTGCCACCTGATACAGAAAAGTCATTTGCCGATTTATTCTTGTCTAATATGTATATTGCATCCGAAAACGTTTGATTAACTCTTTGACAAAAGAGAACAAACTTTGAGAGCTCTATTATCTATATAAACAGATTTATTTTATTATTTTCGATCCATAGGAGTAGTACAGCCCCTCGAAGTGTAACCTATACAAAAACCAGGAGAGTCGGTTTGGAAACTGCTTTTCAAATATTCAAATTAATGAAATTAATTTCAAATCACAGCATGTGTGATATGTTAGATTCTTGTTTCTAGAGAATTAACTTAATAAATGCTAACAATTAGTGATAAGTAATGCAATGTATTAGAAGTATATTAACAACTAGGGATAATATAATACAATAATAATATGATATTTCTATATTGATCTAGAATACTTATTCCAATCTTAAAACTACCCATTTAAATTATTAGTTACTATTTGGATTACTTTATAACCCCAAGCAATTTCTCCTACTAATATTATCCAGGCTACTTTAAATTACATGCTGTAAATATACTTTACATATGCTCGCCCCAAACGCTGTTGATAAGGCAGTTCACTTGAATTGTGCATATGATATTTATGATTTAAGAGTTTCCTTCTAACTTTTTATTTTCTGTCGTCGCGTGTGATATGAGCTTTTATCTATCCAATTTGAATTCATGCACCGAGTCTGTCGCTAAAAATTACCAATTGCGAACGTGTTTCCTTTCTGATAAGTGTCGCTTTCGCCGATGAGCAACAAAATAATCGTATGTATCTGATTGCCAAAAGTAGAAAACAAACATGAAAGACCGATAAAAGGAAACCCAAACAAAATGGTTGCCTATAAAATGAAGTTTTCTTCGCCTCCGTGGCCACAGTTACAGTTACAGTTACAGTTACAGTTAGAAACGAGACGAGAGAACAGTGAGTATAACATAACGTTTGGTATATCTATTGTATTGTATTGTATATAATTTAACCATAATTCTGTAAATATATATTTATTTGATTAGTGATCAAATACAGTCAATTGCTGACGCTGATCTCATTGGCCACGTTGCTAGGCGTCGGGCTGGGGGATGTGAACATTTGCTCCAATGTGGTCGACAATCTGTTTCTGCCAAGTCTCGACAATTGTAGCAACTACTATCTGTGCGTTGGTGAGTTTCATGTAACTCCATACGCGTAATTCATCTAATATTTCAATTGGCCAACTCACAGCTGAGCTGTGAGGTGGATATTTCATTATTATTTGCATTCACGTAAGCAGCTCACACTTTGGTGGATATGGAAACACACCATAGTCTGCCTTATAGCTTTGGTGGATTTCAATATCCACCACATTGCACCTGAATAGCGGCATCTCACTCTAACTCACACCTATTCCCAGCTCAAGTGCACATGACATACAGTCATGCATATGCCCATTCATGGGTCTTCTCTTTCTCTATTTATAATAAGTTTGATATTCTGCCTTTGACAGCCGGCAGAGCTGTACCTCGCAGCTGCAGCAGTGGCTACTTCTTCGATGCTCGCAAACAACAGTGTGTGGGCGTCTCAGAGGTGCGCTGCCTGCCCACATGCCCCACGCAGGGGTTGAGCTCCTTCTGCTACGATCGCACCTGCACCAAGTACGTTCTGTGCTTTGGCGGAGAGCCGGTGCTGCGTGAGTGCGCCGATGGACTGCAATACAATGCTGAGACGGATCGATGCGACTTCCCCCAGTATGTGGACTGTGTGGATAATCTGTGCGTGCGCCAGAACAATGTGGACGACATTGTTTACATTGCCAGCAAGTCTAAGTGTGACAAGTACTATGTTTGCCTGGATGGTCTGCCAGTCAATCAGACCTGCGCCAGGGGTCTTCAATTCAATCCCGAATGCAACTGCTGTGACTTTCCCTCCCGCGTCAATTGTACTGTAGGTCTTCTATTTATCATATATGGAACTTTATCGATAGCAAGATTGTCATTTCATTTAGGTTGAGACCCTACAGCGTGACATCAAGCCCTTTTCCAGAGTCCCACCACGTTCCGGGGGCATCACATGCCCCGACCAGGGCTCTCACTTCATTGCCCACAAGACCCGCAATGATGCCTATTACTACTGCTCTAATGGTAAATCCGTCACTCTGGACTGCACCCCGGGTCTGGTCTACGACGCCGAGCGGGAGGAATGCCGCGAGCCACAGTTCGTGAAGGCCTAGAGGATGTCAGCAAAATAAATTTTAAAGTTCAATCAATTTGTTTGCATTTTGTTTATAGACGCTCATTGCAAATGCCTAGACGCGACTCTCATTAGCTAATTTTAGCCGTTCGGGGAACGCTGATCTCTGCTGCAATGCAGGCGACAAAAAAATGAAGAGCGAAAAGGTTAGAAAATAAATGGTTAGAAAATATGTTGAGGTAAAGCTAGTTTGCTATTAATATGAGATTTTGAGAATTTTCTCTCCTTATTGGTGGCTTGCTACATATATACAAGATGGAACTTTATTTTTTGTATACAAATCTAAAAGATAAGTATAACAGACGAGTATCTAACTATATATCTACTGGGGGCGTGAAAAATTAAACAAATCTTGCAGTTAACTCATTTAACATTTGCTCGAGTTAGTCTCTATAGTATATCTTCATCAAATATAGGATGTGGCAAATCTGTAACTCTCGATTTATCGTAAAATTCCTTAAGTAAATTGATATACATATATTTGCTGTATTCAAAACTAACTTTTTAGTTTTTATTGATTGCCTTGTTAAGCCTTCAATATCTTTTCGGGTTCTCGGCATTCTTGAACATTTGCATCATACCACAGGCCGGGCGTACAGTCCAAGGTAACTCCATGACCCTCCACGCAATAGTAATAGGCATCACGCCTCGATTTGTGGGCGTAGAAGTGAGCTCCATGACGTGGACAGATGACATCAGCGCCTCGCAGTGGCATACGAGAAAAGGGTTGAATATTGCGTTTCAATGCTGGAATCTAAATACATAAATGACATAAAGATGACAGAGATTGCTTCAAATCTATATCACTAGGAACCCACCTGGCATGCCGACCGATTGGGATAATCACAGCAATTGCAGCTGGTACTGAAATACAATCCCTTTGCACAGGTAGACTTAACGGCCACGCCTCTCGCACACAGGAAATATTGAGAGCATGACGCCTTGCTAGGTAAGTACAACAGCTCCACTGCATCACCCAATCTCATGCACTCGTTGTCCACACAGTCCACATGTTGGGGGAAATCGCAGCGATCCGTCTCCGCATTGTATTGCAATCCATCCTGGCATTCCCGCAGAACTGGAATGCCGTAATAGCAGAGCACGTATTTGGTGCAGGTGCGGTCGTAGCGGAAGCTCGTCAGATTGTAGGATTCACATTTGGGCATACAGTTGGCTTTATCCGGAAAGCTGCAACTTTGGTTGCGAGCATTGAACTCATAGTTCTTATTGCACTGTTTCTCTATGGCCTCCCCATCTAATAGGAATAAATGATTTTTAAAATGAAATAAGGTTTTCTATCCTACATTCTTCTCACCCCAGCAGAGATAATATTTTTTGCAGTCTCCCACATAGGGCAGAAAAACTCTGTTGGCAACATTATTGCACAGACTTATGTTGCCCGTATAAAGAGTGCTTCCATTCAATACTGTTACGGTGTCATCCTCCTCAGGCTCTGGTGCCTCGAATTGCTGAGCCCTTATCAATACACATTGACATAGTGCTAAAAGTCCAATATATATCACGAATTTCACTTCCGATGAAGAGAAATTATTAAACATTGTCGAGCACTTAATATCCGGCTTACTTACTTCTATATCGTAGCACTTGCCGAAGTCAACTGTTGTCGTTAGGTGGTGGCACCAACCGAATTTATATGCTTGATATCTTCGAGTTCTGTCGATCTATTTCAATAACAGATACTTTTGAGCCCTTATCAATAGCTTCATGAGAGAACCGACTCTTATACTGAACAGAACATTTTAATTTGCAAGATAACAGCACGTCATGAACTGGTGACTAAGCTAGAGGCCATTTTGAAGGAAAATCGCACAATTCAGCTCGTATACTAGATGCATATTCAGAAGATATATGAAGAGTTCTTTGTAGAGATTTCGTTTCTGAAAATTTTGTCGCCTGGCAAGCACTACGAACTTGAGTATATATAAAAATATATTTGGTTTGCCTACACATTATAGATGCCTATGTATGTGTGTACACGTATGGGTGTATGTATATAAATTATCGTATAAAATATTTTCATTTTCGACTCAATCATTTAGTAGGAAAATTGGCATCTGAACGAGCGCATTGTTCAGGAAAAGAAAATATATATAACATACATATATCTCTTTTAACATAATTTTGAAGACCTAGTGCAGTGCCTGTACACATTCCGTTCTGTAAGTTTATATAATTGCTTTTGTTTTCCAAATGAGGGCCTACCGAAGACTGTCATGATGATTGACACAAATATTACCACAAAGTCGAAAATGTGTTATTTATAGCTTTGGGAGCTCTAATTACTCGTGTGTGCGTGTGTTTGTGTATTTGTGTGTACGAATATATTTTAAAAACACAATTATAAACGGCTAAACACAAAGATTTTTCTTTAAAGGAACGGTCCACATAATGGTCAACGAACTGAATAAGCCCCAAGATAATGCCGCACTGAGCGAGGTAAAAATTGAGTCAAATGAAACATGATCATCGTTAATAATAGGTACAAGTACATGCATATTAATACATTTTAATATGTTTTGTCACAGCTGTTGGCTGCTTCCAATCGTCAGTTGGAGGAAATGCAGGAGGAGCATCGTCAGCTGCAGGCGGAACTAACACGCTTAAGCGCCCAGCGCCAGCAATTGAGAATTGCCACCAGGGAGCAGGAAACAGTGAGCGTTGTAACCTCTGGCTCACAGTCCTCACAGTCCTCGCAGTCCTCACTCGCTACTGCGGAAAGCGTAGCAACCGAAGAAAAAGACAATGCCACTACTGAGGAAGATACGGAAGAAACGGCGAACTATCTGCAGGAAAAGCTGGCGGAAATCGCAAATTTGAAGGCGCAATTCAAACGTGTTCAGCATATGACCGATTCGACAAAGCGCATCGAGGAACATATATCCAGCATGGAGTCCAAATCGTCATCATCGTCGACTGTGCAACAGAGCAGACAAACTATGTCATCACAATCTGTACAGTCCAGCAGCAGCAGCACGAGCACCAGCAGCAGCACTAGCAAAAGCGCTTTATCATCAGGAGCTGAGTCATCCACATCTAAGACTGCTCCGGACAATGCAGAGCTCCTAAATGCAATGATCAACATGGTCACGGATTTCACAAGTGATTTGCGTGGACAAGAGGAAAGTTTGCGTGCGGAACGATTGCGTATTAAGGCATTGAAGGAGGAAATTATACAGCGCAAACAGAGCAAATAGAATAAATAATACCTATTGAATATAAATACAACTCACTTGCTGAATAGCCTATGTTTATATATATGAAATAAAAATTGCTCATATTAGACCTATTCTGTTCATATTTTAAATATATATATTTTTAAAAATTAATTTTAAAAGATTATTCACTCGCGCCATGCATATTTTACTGCACTTAAATTATCGATTGGTGCAGCTCACGATGCATTGTGATGTATCTGGTTAGTGGATGTATTGTTCTCAACTATCGATAATAAGCAGCACATCACTATCTGGCAGGACGCAGCTGTTTGCTTGTAAAAAATATTCTGATTCGCCTTATGCTTGTGTAAATTGTATTAGTCAAAAGCGATTTCAATTGTTAAAAAATTCTGTCAGCAATCTAGATGTGAAAACTGTTCGGTCAACTTAGTTCAAAAGTGAATAAAACAACGGATTGATACAGTAGCTGCCTAGTGTCCAGTCAGTGTTAGTTTATAATTGATACTGTGCGAGTTGTATATGTACATATATATTTTCTGATGGCGCCGACACCGCCCGTAAAGATAATAATGAAAAACGACTGTGATACAAATCGCAGCACCGGCGCAGTACCCAAACAAGTAACAACAACCACACAAGGCGCAGCATTGCCGGCAAATCTCAATAGAACGCCGTCAACGACGTCAACCAGATCGAGTAGCAGTCGTGCTCGCAATTCTTCCCTAATCAAGCAGCAGCAGGAACAGCAGCAGAGGGAGCGGGACGAGGACATTGCGGCGCGACTGCAACGCGGCACATGCAAGACTCTATACGTAAGTTTTCATTTAGAATAGGTAAAAAAAAAAAAAAAAACGGAAATCTAAAGTATGTATATATTATTGAGTTAATTACGTCTATTGCGGCTGCTCTTTTTTATTTATCATGGACAGCAACCAGAAAATTTGCAGCCGGCTTGTTTATATTGTTATATATATTGTTTTCATTCATGTTGCCATGACGCCCAATTTGCGAGCTGATCCACTTGGCCGAGTGCTCTCTCTTCTTTAGCCACTTGGCTCTGCGCTCTTGCATTTAAAAATACTTTTCACACTCATTCTTCTCGACCAAACTGCTCGAAAAGTCTCGGCGCTGGTTCAGTAATACAGACGACCTTCCCTGCGGCGCACACCGAAATTTACAGAAAGCAACAAAATTGCTGCCTTTCTGATACTAAGTCTATTGCTAATATTCATTTGTTGTTGCTTCAAGGATCTGCTGGAGCGTGCCACAACTGCTAAAACCCAATACAGCAGCCAGCAGCAAGAGCAACGCGAGGCGCTGCGTCAATTGGCCGCGGAACATAGTTACGATCCAACAGGTAAGTTTAAGCACTTGAAAACCAAATATCGACTTCTGTCCCTACCTCGCCGTTCGCACCTGGGTGGAGGTTTTTACTGATCACATAAAATGTGCGCTAGTTCATATTCTAAATATAACAGTGCGCACGAAAATAGACGCCCACGGAGAGGGCCTCTCGCATCGGTCGCACCGTGGGCAGCAGGCCAGTTTTGACTGCGTCATTGCACGAATTTCTCATATATGTCTATGTTAAATTTTTGTGTGCTTTTCACAGATCAGCTACAGGAACAGCATCATCGCTATTGCTTTCCTGTACGTCCAGTGCAGCGAGTGCAGCATCAGCAGCAGCCCCAGCCCCAGCCCCAGTCACAGCCACAGCCACAGCCCGTAGCAGCAGCTGTGCTGCGTCTGCGTCAACCAACGACACCGAATGCCACAGTAGGCGTTGTCACACCCAACACGACCAACGGCAACGAGGAGCAACAGCCCACAAGCACTAGCAGCACGAGTGCAATCGCCAGCAACTCCCAGGCGCCTACAGCTCTGCAAACTGTGGTTCATCGTCTCTTTGGGGTCTCAGCGCAGAGCTCGACACGCTCGCAAATCGAAGTGTTGCGCACTTTGCTCGGCTTGGATGAGAACTGGAATAGCGGCAGCGGACAACAACAGGCAGCAGGCAGTGTTATCGAGGTGAGCGGAAGGCAATCAGCAGATGATTGAATCAATCTAATGTTGCATCACTACAGTATTTAAGCAGTATGGTGCATGAAATCAATCCCAGTGCCAGTGAAAAAGATGAGGGCATTGTCAATTCGACAAGCTTGGAGGATGTTGCATTGAGTGAGGTATGTAATATATCAATATATTTGCAAGAATTCAATGTAATGGGTAAACTCTTCTCTTCTCAGATGAGCGACAATCGCGCCCAGTCCATACAGTCACTGCACAGCGTTCTGGAGACACCAACACCAGATACTACGCCCAGTTTTGATGAGCTACAACAGCGGCTAGATGCCTCCAATCGCAATATGCAACACTTGCAGGATGAGCAGCAGAAGCTGCGACATATACAAAACATGGCCAAAACGCATCTCAACGAAATGGAGCAGCTGCGTCAACACAGCGCACATCTTGCGCATAACGGCAACGGCGATGCGCCCAACTATGAATCTGTACAGCAGGTGCAGGACGATATGGCTTCGCTTGTGGGGCGCATGAAGAATCTCACGGCTTTTATACACAATCAAAACGAGCTAAGCAGCGTGCTGGGCGACGATGGCCCAGAGATTTTGGCCGAGCAGCAGGCGCTGCAGGAGAAACTTGAATCATTGCGTGCGCAGCGAGAGGACATGCGCGAATTGGTCAATGAGCTAACCAGCATCAATCGAAAGGCCAAAGAGCGGGTGCAGGCGGTTCGTGCCGCCAGCCAGGAGACGAGCACCCCAAGAGAGGAGACACCCCCAAAGCAGCAGCAGCAGCAGCAGCAGCAACAGGCTAAACCCACAAATGAGCGTATCGTCCCAGTGGAATATCAACGCAATGTTCCCATTTTGCGGCAGGAGGCAGTCAATGCAGCTCAGCGTGCTCAACACGCTCAGAATATGATTGATCAGAAAACGGCGGACATTGAGGCGTTGAAGGCACAAATGAACAGGCTGAAGAGCATGCTGAATACCGTTAATCAGATTGAAGCCGGCACGTCCGACATCGGCGAGACCTTGGAGCGTCGCAGCGTTGAGCGACCCGAAGAACGACCTCGGGACATTTCGCAGCGTGTGCAGGCATTAGACGGCGTTAGCTCGGAGCTGCGCGCTGAGGCAGCCACATTGCAGCAGGAGCGCGATCGCATTTCTGCACTGAAGGCTGAAATAGAGCGACGCCAGAGGCAGGCAGCAGCTGCGGTACAGATGGGAGACGAGGCGCTGCAGCGTCACAGCCTGACTCCAACGCCCCTTCGACAGCGTCCACAAGATGATGAGCAGGAGGAGGAAGAGGACGAAGAGAAGGAGGATGAAACAAAAAGGCGAATTCAGTTGCAAACGCGCAATGAGTTGCGGGCACAATGCGAGAAATTGCGACAGGAATATGAGAAGAAGCAACGCGAGTATGAAGCACATTTTATGAACAGCCATGGCACCAACAACCACAATGGGGGCAACAACAACAACAACGACAACACCAACACAACTTCGGAGGCTGATGATGAGGGCAATGATGACACCGACAGCGATAGATATTTTACACAATTGCGCGCTTCATCTTCGGCTACTTTAAAACGAACTGCCTCGACCATTACCGTTGTGGAGAAACAGCAACAGCAGCAGCAGCAACAACTGCAGCAGCAACAGCAGCAGATGCTGCAGCAGCAGCAGCAGCAGCAACAACAAGAACAACAGCGACGAACACAACTCAAGCAGCAACAACAACATACGCCCAATGCTCACTCCATGTCAAACAATGAAGACGATCTGAATCTAACGATTGACAGCCTCTCCCTGGGCAACGATAGCATACCGTCGAGCAGCACTAGGTCCCAGTATATGCCGCCGCCAATGGCACCCGTTCAAGGCATGTGGAGTAAGCAATCCGCCAGCAATTATTCATTAGCCATTTCTATTGAACTTCTCATTTATTTATAGACACGCATAGTACGGCCAACACTTGGCACTCGCAGCCTGGCTATCTGCCAGCAACGCCAACAGGTGCTCCAGTTGCACCGGGCGTCGCTGCTTCCTCGCAGGCTTCGAGTGTCAACCAAACGCCCGACGCAGTGCTCTTGCAGCAGTTTATGCAGACCCAGCAGATGCTCATCAACTCAGTCTGCCAGTGCAATCAGACCTTGTGGCATCAGCAGCGTGAAATTGACAGTCTCAACAGTCAGATACATTCGGTGAGAGTAAAGCTTAACTAACGAAACCAATTAACAGACAGATTGTGCTAAGACTTTAACGACCTTTTGATTTTGATTGTATTTAAAACGTGCTCTTACTTTTCATTTGAACAGTTGCAGGAACGTTTGAACGCATCGTGCCAAGAGCACGCCTATAGTCTGCGCTCGGAGTCCGTTCCGCCTATCGCTGGCGGTCTGGCGCCAAACAACCTGTGTCTGGGCGCCAGCGCTCGCGCCCAGTCGGAGCAACTATATAATTTCGGCTCCTCGCATCAGAGCGCCTTTAGCAACTATCAGCGCAGCACTCATCGCAACAATATCTACAGCGGCAGCGATCCGCATCAGGCGCAGACCTATTTGAACAATGCCGCGCCACCGCCACCACCGCCACCGCCCACGCACTACAACAATGAGACGCCGCTGTCGCCGCTCTCGTATCGCCCCACTCCGGCGCCCATATTCATGAATCATCACAACAACACCATACACCAGAATAACGCCAACTTGCGCACCCAGAACCAGCATGCGAACAATTTGCATTCGCTGCCGGAGGATGCGGTGCCGCCACCCACTCTGAACAACCAGGTGCCGCCGGGCAACCGGGCGAACAACTATTGGGATAACTTCCGAAGGTAAAGCGCCATACAAAACACATATTTTATGTGGTATCGGGTTCTTTCGTACGCAGTAGGCATTCTATTTATTTCTATCGATTGAGAACTGGGAAAGAGCTGTTAATTTAAAATCCTTGCCAAAGTAATAAAACCAAATACATAGAACGAAGTGCCACGAAAAAAAAAGATTTGAGCAGTTTTGATTTATTATTATTTTTAATCAATTTTCCAAAAAAATCTACGACATAAGTAAGTAGAAAGAAGAAAACATTTACGAGAAATCTAAATGATTAAATTGGAAATGCGTTTCAATTGAGTTAAACTAATTCTATTAACTTGAGTATTATTTTAATTTTTAAAATTTTGATTCTTCTTTTTTATGCTAACTGCCTATTTAATTGAATGTGTATAAGCAATTCTATAACCCGAAAATTGTTCAGAATTATATCTAGAGTAGCTCTAATTGGAATAGACTGGATGATATTAACACTAATGCTTAGAATGTTATTATATTTTGCACATTAAATACTTTTGATTTAATTGCTCGCTTTTATTAACCCATTAATATTTGTGCGCTTTGCAGCTATACACGCCAGAATCTGCTATCTAACAAAAGCAACGAGGAACTCAATGTGGAGCACCAATATCGCCAGATACAACGCCAGCGCCAGCGTCCTAGCTATTTTCAGACGCATCTGCCACACACTGCACGCGGCTCCACCAGCAGCATACTGCTACAGCAGCAGCAGCAGCAACAACAGCAACAGGCTCAGTCACATCGTCACTTCTATGAGACAACACCTCAGCAGCCGCAACCGCAACCGCAGCAACAGCAACAGCAGCAGCAACAACATTTGCTCAACGGCAGCAGCAGCAACAATTTGAACAACAGCAGCAGCAGCAATCACGACTGGCGCAATAACGCCCATGGTGAAGAGGAGGATGTGGAGGAGGAAGATAATAATGATTCCTCAATATTCGGCAGCAGCGGAGGCAGACGGCGCAATCGCCGGCGTCCAATGCCAACGCTGCGCAACGAGGAGACTTCCTTGCAGGAGCTAACGGCTGGCTCGTCCAATTTCTTCAACATGAATGTGAACAGTCCTCTGTATCAGCGCAACAAAGTGCCGGCTAAGCCGACCACGTCAGCGGTGTCTCTAACACCGTTGCAGCAGCGCCATCTGCGCTTCGATTTCGAGCTGCCTGCTCAATACATGGACTATGAGCTACCAGAGCCGCAGGCGATGCAGGCTCCGCCTGCTGCTCCGGTGTACAATGTCACAGCACAGGAGTCCGTCGTGCCAGAGGAATCCAATGCGGTGCTGGAACAAGGCACAGAGGAGACTGCTTCAGAGGAACTGAATCGCAATTTGCTGGTAAATGCATTGAAAAATGATAAATTTACCACAAAGTTCTACGAGTCGATCAAGGAGGATGTCTACAGACGACTTGAAACTCTCTTCGAACAGCAGCAACAACAGCAGCAACAGTTGCAGCAGCAGCTAGGGGAACAGCAACTGTACAATGAAGTGCATAGCCTGCGCAAGACCCTCAACCAGGGTCAGGCGCCTAGTGCCCCTCCGGCAGAGAACGCCGTTGCAAACGAGTCAACAGAGGCCACGGAGAGTGGCACTGAGTCGCCCCAGGCTCAATCTGTCAGCGACCGGCCTGAGGACGACAATAGTCTGCCATTGCAGGTAATGGCAACGGCAGCTGCTGCTGGGGCAGCAACTGCATCTACATCTGCAGCAGCAGCAGCAGCAGCAGCAGCAGAAGGCGCTTCAGGAGCTGAATACGCAGAGGCAGCTGGCGTTGGTCCCGCACCGTTGGACAACGATGATGTAAGTAGCCAAAGCTAATGCACTGCTTCAGCTGCTCATAGCTCGTGCCTTTTTTGTTAAAGCAAATCATTGAGGTGGTCATTGAACGACCCGGCACGCCTCCATCGGCTAGTCTTGACCTATCGCCGGATCACGAGCTTATTGAGTACATAATCAAACGCATACGCAACCAGACGCATAACAACACAATCATCAACGATTCACTGCTGGCTGAGGTCTCCAAGCTGACGGCAAATGCGGCCCAAAACTCGGCCGCCAGCTGGACGCCAAATGCCGTCTCGCCGCTCATTTCGCCCAAGCGCTTTTATGCTAAGATTAAGAAGTTGGACGTGCCAAGGCAGCGCGACGAGTTCTTGCTTTGGTATCGCACCTATCTGGAGCAGCTCTTTGTGGTAGAGCAGCAGTCAGCCGACACCGGCAGCATGCCCATAACGAAAAGTAAGGAGCTGAAAGCTCATTCCAAAAAGCAGGTCAATAAACGCGTGCGTGCTCAGTCGAACTCGCAGGATTCCAACAATGATGCCGACCTAGCCGAGGCAGACCAGAAGAAGGTTACGCTAAACGGGGGCGATACAGAGTGCGAGAACAATGAGAATCCGGAGGAGGAGGCCAGCGCAGCGGCAGCTCAAGAAACTCAGAATATCAGTTTAGATTAAATCGAGTAAAATTAGTTAGTTATTAGATCACTAGACGGGACCCACCCAGTCAACATTCCCAGCCTATCCGTATACATGTGCATATATATATGCAATTATATACTCATATATACATATTCCATATGACATACCTATATGAACTAACAAAATTAGTTACTAGCCGCAATGGGCGGCCCATTTTCGACTTTGTTTTTATTTTGTATTAAATTATAAATGTACACCTAAAACATAAACAAATTTGTTGGGAGTAGCTGTAGCTGCTGTAATCCCATCGAAATATTGGACCAGCCCTTGGGTTTTATTTTATTTATTTAATTGGCTTACAAATGTAACAAACAATTTGTTTCGAATTAACTCCGGTGTTTGGCTATTTACTTAGATCTGTTTGGCTGGTGAGCTGCTCCATCATGCGATAGTAGCAATAGCGGCTGTCGTAGTCCATGTCGTACCAAAAGTTGATGGCGATGCATTTGTGACTCTGGCGCACATGATGGAACCAGTAGTTTGGCAAATAGAGCACATCGCCCGCATGAACACGTACTCGTAAGGGACGTGCCTTGCTATACTGGGGATATTTGGCCAAGTCCGGAGCTAATGGGTCAATACTAACCCATTCCGTATGTAGAACTTCGTCGTTCTCAATCACAGGATCTATGTAGAATTGCCCGCAGGATTTTCTCTTGTATACGCCAGTGGGATAGTTGCCACGAGGCACGCAGCAGAGCTGATGCGGCGGCAGCAATATGAAATCTTTGTACCCGGAAATTACGCAATAAAGATTCTCGTAGGGATCCTTGTGCATTGAGGTGATGGCCCGCTCGTCGCCCAACCAGAAGTTGACTGCATCCGGTTGCTTGTTGAAGCACTGCTGGGCAAAATTCAAGTTACTCGGCACAATGTCATCAGCCAGCTCCGGAAAGTCAAGACTGAAATTGGAATTTTGCTTCTGAATGTAGTGCACAGCCCCCATTGGATCATCGAGACGCTGCAATAGTTCAGATAGAGGCATTTGCGTTTCTAGCGGTAGCACGAAATACTCTTGGCCATCTTGTGTGGCCAGACCGTCAGCATAGCCATTGGGTGTGACAGCCACATCCACAACTTTGTCATTTAGAGTAGTCTGCAAATAGTCCGGCGTCCACTTCTGCACTGCAGGCCAATGGGCAACCGCTTGACGTATGACAACAGGTGCGTTCTTTGCATAATAGTCCCGGGTGAACTCTAGGGCAGTTGGCAGCTGTTGTAGTTCCGTTATTTGTCCACCAATGCATAGCTCTTTCGCTTCCTGAAGCAACAGTTTTATAGCTGTCTCAATTTGAGTTTGAGCCATGCCGATGACATTCCGGTACAGATCGATAAGTGTTTGAGCTTATCGATGAAAAACAAAGATGTGCACATGGCATCGATATATTGAACCGCAAAGTATGTTGAGTAGACACACTGGTATACATTGCCGGTGAAGAGATACAAGAAGACAAATTAATGTAAATTAAGAAAACGTAATATTGTCACCATACAATTGCTGATATCAGTTAAAAAAAAACTAAGTGATCGAATGGTTAGTGACTTCATACACAAAAAGTATCGATATATACTTGTCGTCTGGTAGTCGATACTATATGTTCTGTATACAGCTGTTCTAAGGCAGACAGCCGAAAAAAAACATGTTGCTTTTGTAAAATTAGGAAAAAGTAAAGAGTTCAATTAAAAACGTTGCCAAAATGCAGGAAGTTGGGGATGAAGTGTTCAACTGCATTGACGAGGCTAATGCCATCATAAACGATGTTAAAGCACACGTTGCCGAAATTGTAATATCTTCCAAATTGGTCAGCAGTGCCACGAAGATTTATCTGAACATTCGCACCATAGAGAGCGCCACCTGCTGCGTACAAGTGACTGGTCGAGGATTTAAAATAGTCTCCTCGCAATACGACACCATCGATGAGGAGCCGGCGCTAGGCTCCGACGGGGAGCCAGAGGAGGAGGAGATCTTTGAAACACCCTACGCTTTGCTGGATAAGATTAGTCCACGCTATGTGGAGTCGTTTGGCAACAAGCTCTGTCAGCAGCTGCGACAACTGCAGCAAATGCGCACTGAATTCCACGAAGAGGACGAGGAGGAGGATGAAGACGAGTAACCAACTTCGCCTCTTCGAGACAACAACTTCATACTGAGGCTGTACTCATTAAACACAAGATTTTAATGTTAGTTTATTTATGTATTTTATGTACTCGTAACCGTGAAAGTATTTCGGATCGTGTGACAACCCAAAATCGAACCACTTTAGACCTTTAAGCGCTTCAAGAATAAAGATTGTGATTGCAATTCCAAATCAGTCAATTTGCGTACCGTTGGCACCAATTGCTCAACATGATCCACATATCCAGTGCCCTTATTGAGATTCTTTTGGCCGTAGACCACCTTGCCATCGAAATCGTTAACGGGCACCTCCAGGGACTTGTCCACCTGCTGTATGGTTATGTTCAGGTGCTCCTCGACCTCACCCAATAAATTGAGCTCATTGTACCAGATGCAACAGCCGCGCACGTCAGTCAAATTGGTGTTGTTGCAGTTACGTCCACGAGTCTTGCACCATTCGCCGTGGTACCAGACCTTCTCCGGCACTGTAGACACCAAGCTGATGGCCAGGCCCATACGCTCTGCACGACCCACACGGCCGATGCGGTGCACATAGTTGCATTTGTCATCCGGAAGAGTTATATTGATCACTGCATGAATGAGAAGCTATAGATTATATGTAAACATATATTAGGTAATCCTTACTGAAAGGCAATCCTGTTATGTCCAGTCCACGTGCAGCAACGTCTGTACAAATGAGAAACTTGACCTGCTGGCGCTTGAACGCTTCCAGATTCTGTTTGCGCTCCTGCGGCTTGCGATCGCCATGCAGGCATACGCAGGAGTAGCGTTGGCCGCCGCGGAGGCGAAGATACTGCTCCAAGTTGTCGCAATCCTGCTTGGTGCGACAGAAGATGATGGCACGATCCATTTTGTGCTGGTCAATGGCCCGGATGCAATATTCACCCTTCAGCAGCTTCACTGCCTGGGATAGGGTCTCTGGGGAAAGATTAGTGGGATGGATATTGTCGTGATCGTGCACACCATCAGTGCGTATCGACTGGCGGAGTTGCTGCCAGCTGGTGTCAATCTTCGGGTCGACCATGCACACAACATGGTGAACAGTCTCCGGCACTGCATCTTCGCCCTTCAGATCCACCCAGGTGGGGAAGTGCATCAAGCGTTCAGCCATCTTTTTTACCTCAAAGGCATGCAAGGTGGCGGAGCAGACAATCATCTGCAGGCGACAGCCATCGCTGGTTATTTTTGGTATTTGCTTGTGCAGCCGATCAATTAGATCCGTATAGCCCTGCTTAAGCAGAGCATCCGCCTCGTCCAGGACGAAGAAACGACAGTGAGTGAGCTGTACGAGTCCACTGTTGATGAGCTCCTCCAAGCGACCGGGAGTGCCCACCACAATGTGGATTCCCTTCTGCAGTTCCGCTTTCTGCTCCTCCAGACGCACGCCCCCAATAAGCAGTAGGGGACGCACGTCGGGATCAGTTATATAACGTTTCAGTTTCTCAATTTGATTGTAAGTTTGCTCCGCCAGCTCACGGCTCGGCTCAATGATTATGGCTTGGGGAGCATTGGGCGCCGGTTTGCTGGCCGCAGTGTTGGCTGCGGGGCTGGCCAAAGGATTGGGTGCGCTATGGTCAGGGCCTGCTTGACATACAGCCACATACCCGTTGCCTGGTGGGTACTTAAAATCTGATTTGCCAAAGTTAAATAGCATCTCGGCATTCTTCAGGACGACAGCGGGGTAGAAGGTGTCATTGCGTAGATTTTCGGGTATTTTGAAAGCCACTCCCAATGCAGTGCCGTTCTTGGTGAAGCTCACTTCCAGTCGCTGCAGGTCCAGCATACAGCCCACTACATCTGCCTTGCCGAAAGCCTCGCCATAGTCGTCAAACTGGCGATTGTTGGACTTTTTGCCCGTCCCGCCAAAGCCAAAGCCGTAGCGACACGTACCCAGATCTAAATTCGCCATTTGAGTGGACCACCCCACGCGGCACAAGCCCTCATCGGTGACTGTTGCCTCGTAATAGAACTTGGCTTTACCATAGACCCCGGTAGTGGCACGACATCCGTGCCATTCCTTAAACTCACGCGACTGGCAACGCAAGCCATCCGGAGTCACGGCTAATGCACTGTTACGATCGAAAAACGACATTGTCCACGGTGCCACAGCTCCAGCTGTGCCACCTCCCTTTTTACTCGGCTTTCCCGACTGCAAATCGCGAATGGTTTCCCAAACAATTTGCAGAATGGGCAAACAAAAGGCGCCCGTTTTGCCGGAGCCCGTTTCGGCTGCCATTAGGACATCGCCTCCGCCGAGTATGAGTGGTATTGCCTCTGCCTGCACATCCGTTGGCAAGCTAATAGGGGAGCGATCGCAGAAAAAATTAACTTGAATTTTATATTATTTGTACTTACGTCCAGTCCAATTCGTCGGTTGCCTTGCCGAGCTCTGGCAGCACACCAAACTCTGCAGGGGGATTTATTAGGATATTTAAATATGTTTTAATTAAATTTTGTATATATTTTACCTTCAAATGCCGTCATTGTTTTTAGTCACTTAGAAATAGATAATTTTTATTAAACTCTGTCTGCACTTCATACACCGGCTGCAATATTTGCCTATGTACTCAATTGTTGTTCACCATGTACTCATTGGAGCAGGATACGCTAATGCTGACAATCGAAGCAAGGCAAGCTTTAATCGGTATTTGTCTTCAAACAAGGTGAAATAATCATAAGAATTACTTTGCAAGTATCGTTTGATTAATATAATTATATACAATATGTATTTTATACTAGTTGGCTAATAGGATTTTGGTCCAGAAAAATCTAGTATATTTGCATTTGGAGATGCAGCATACTAGCCTTAAGAAGCTGGCAGCCTTCCAGATGTTCACAAAGACGAACTCGGAGTGTTGCAAAACGAGTTTAATCACAGCTGTTGAACTGATGTCGTTATGCATCACTTATATTTGTATACGCGTAAATTGTAGTGATTTTTTTTATTAAATTATGGCAAGTGTTTTGTTAAAGTGCTAATTAGTCATTAGAGATGTAAATTTTGGCGTGTAAGTTATTATTACCTAAAGTGTAAGTACTTAATAACCTCAAATTAACTGATAATTGTTCTAAAAAATGGCTTTTCAGCAATTTGCTCGCTGGAGAGAGAATGTACTTTCCATTGGGCTGGCCAAAGCGCGTTTGCCTGGCGCTCCCTGGCGAAACCACTCACATAAATCACATTAGTTGTGATGGTGTTAAAATACTCGTCGCGGCCGTTGGCTCGGATTTTCTGGGCATTTGGTATGCGAACCCGCTTCTGCCCATTGCCTATTATCGGCGCACCGTGGAATCTCTGCAGGAGTTTGGCAAAAATCAATTGATCATATGGAAGCCCGACTCCAGGCAGCTGGCCGTGCTAACGGATGCTGGTGCCTTGTTGTTGTATCAATTGGACTTCGATGCCAATGGCAGTGGAATATTGATGCAGGTGGATCCGCCTGCATTAAGTCTGAAAAGAGATTCAGCAGAGCTGTTCATCAAGGAGAATATTCCACGCCTGAGTCTCCGCGAAGTGCGCTGCTTGAAGCTGGACGTTGTCATCTCCACTGTCTGCTGCATCAGCCTCAGTGAGCTGCTCCTGGCTACGGAATCATGTGAACTGCTTCGATTGCAGTGGTCACAGCTCGAAACCGTTTCCGAGGACCTGAAGCCGCTGGCTGTTATCAAACTACGTGACATTCCCTTCTACGTGCAGCAACAGCAGCAGCAGCCTGTTAAATATTTGCCAGCCATGGGTAACTCGGCCTTTGTGGCCAGCCTGGAGTATTCTCCCTTCATTGGTGGATGCGCTGCTGTCTTCAGCGATCAGCGGGCGGCGTTCCTCGTAGCTGATCATCTGCGTTTCGAAACGGTGCACATGCACGGCTGTTGGGTGCCGGATGTGATGGATGCGAGCGTCTGCAGCGTCAATCACAAGTTCCGACTGCTCGCTTATGGCCAGCAGAGCTCGGCGGTGGCTGTGTATGCCATAGATGACGCCACAGCAGGCCTGGAGTACTCGCACAGGCTTGTTTTGACGGAGAATGTGCCGCCTGGCAGCTTGGGTGCTGTCAACGAGCTCAAGTGGAGTCCCGATGGTTGTGTGCTCGCCGTGAGCTGGGAAAACGGTGGACTGTCGCTGTGGAGCACCTTCGGAGCGTTGCTGATGTCTACCCTAAGCTGGGATTTTGGACTGCATGTAGATTTGGTTAA